GCCTTTGTTTAGTGCGATTGTTGATTAACTACAAAGAGAATGTATTTTATTAATTAGGTCGTGTTTTATGTACAGGTTACGTATATTTTACATCGAGATGCCTCATAAAATCGTACTTTCGCAAGGGCATACACTGCATAGATCTGAACCGTTTTTTTAAATATAGGTAAAGGATATATTCCTTAACTTGAAAAGTGCTGCTGATTTCTTTAAATCGAGGCCGTGATTTTATAAGTGCACAAAATATTTGGTAAAATTCTAACATATTTCGACATTGGCCTATTTACTTAAACATTCAAGTATTAAAACGCGAATTCTATTCAAAGCAGCAGCACTTTTCAGAAACTACAAAGTATACAGAAAAAATTAATAGCTTGAATTTTTAATTTCAATTAGGGTATGCCCTTGCGATATTGAAATTTGTTATTGACCTACATTCCGTGTACCTGCTATGCGTTTATCACGTGACTGTCCATCGATGGGAGAAAACTCGACACAGTACAGAGTATGTTATATCATGCTATTTCCATAAGTATTTAAGTTCTGTGATAATAGAATTGCTGAATAAAAATAAATTCAATTTTAAAAATATCCCGTTTTTTGCACTTTTATTTTCCGTTGATTTCTCATAGTAAGCCTTAACAGTGCTGCGCTCATCTGAAGGACCGGTCTCCACGTGCCACATTGGGATTCGAACCGGCGTCGTAAGAATTGACTCCTTAGAGAGAGGCAAACTTTTAACAAGGAAGGGACTTATAAATTAATCGTTATTAAAACTCCCAATGCACCCTAAATCATTGTAATTAAACACTCGCACTCACTCCCTACATGTAATGAGACATTTGTATATGGGTAGTCCACTTATCTGTGTGCTTAATTTAATGGATTATGTAGTTCTTAATGAAGATTGAATATGTACATGGAGTGAATTTGCATAGAAGGACGAGTATTTCTGACAATTATGTCTAGGTGAAAAAGATACTGGAATAAACTATAATAAATTTGCTACCGAAGTAGATATTGCACGAAAACATGTTTCGCCTTACCCATTTGTATATTACGTACTCAAAGCACTGATCAATAACGAACTTTCCGAAGTAAATGCTCAGGAAATATTGATGAATACAATTCATCAAGTTTTGTGAAAGACTATTAAAAAAGTTTAATCGGGGCACTTTTTTATGAGCATTAACACAAAATGAAACTTGCCTTTTATGATACGATTGAATTTTTGTATCGGTTGATATCCGAAAATACAAAGGAAAATGTGGATAAGTCAATAAAAATAATTCAATAAATAAAACAAATTTATTGAATTTCATTACTAGTCATCAAACTTCAAATCATATTATACAAAAGAAAGTATTTGAAATAATTGTTTTATTAAAACTACTCATATTCTTTGATTTTTTATTTTCAGAAATGACAGAAATATGTGACCTAAGAATTTAATGTTCTTAAGTTTCAGGTTTACGACAAAATAATTTTGACATCAGAATTCAAGCTTAACATTCATCTTTAATCGTTAATCAATATATATCAAATTAAATAATCAAAATTTAAAACAAAGCTACAAAAATGTTTCTACAAAATGCGACTACATTTTTCTTAAAAGAACAAATGTTGTAACAAAGAAAAAAATCGTAAATTAAAATAACAAACAAATTAAATAATTATAATTTAAAACAAAGCTAGAAATTCTTTTCTAAAAAATGCAACTACATTTTACTTAAAAAGAACAAATGTTGTAACCAAAAGAAAAAAAAAAACTTACAAACATTAGTTAAACAAGACACTTATGTGTTTAAAATACACCTGATGTGAATGTGAGACTCGCTATATAAAGTTTCGGGTTTACGACAAAATAATTTTGATATCAGAATTCAAGCTTAACATTCATCATAAATCAAAATAACAAACAAATTAAATAATCAAAATTGAAAACAAAGCTATAAAAAAACTATTATCATTTTACCAATTTTTTTTTTTTTTTTACAAAATGCGACATTTTACTAAAAAAAAAAGGACAAATGTTGTACCAGAGAAAAAAAATCTAACAAACAAATTAAATAATCAAAATTTGAAAAAAAAAGCTAGAAAAAGTTTCTACAAAATGTGCCTACCTTTTTCTTAAAGGAACAAATGTTCTAACAAAGAAAAAAAATCGTAAATTAAAATAACAAACAAACAAGCAAATTCAAAGAATTGTGGTCCCCCGCTTTCGGTGTCTTTGTGGGTGAGATGTTATCTTTGATGACATATTGTGTGTAATATGAACATCCTATCATATGTTATTTACTAGTATTTAGAAAGTAACACTGGAGTTGATTTTATTTAAGGATGAAAACCCTTATCCTGACCGTTAAAAAGTAACGGCCAACTAAGAAGTTTTTTAAAAGTAGGTCAACTCCAAGGTCAAGATCCAAGGGTCAAAATTGTTGATATCCAAATGAATATAATTTTTTTCACAAGGATTACATATGTGAAGTATGAAAGCCCTAGCCCTCACCCTTCAAAAGTAATGGTCAAGGTTAAAGTTTTTTCATAAGTACGTAAATCTCAAAGGTCAAGGTCAAGGTTGTTTGAATCCAATGAAATGTCTTGCAACAAGGAATACATATGTGAAATATAAAAGTTCTAGCATCTACTGTTTAAAAGTTGTGACCAAGGTTAAAGTTTTTTGAAGTAATAGTTAGATCATATGAAGTAAAATTTTAGTGGTTAAGAAGAGGCGGAGAGAGCGAAGCGACCGAGCCCCCTTCTTAACAACTAAAATTTTACTTCATATGATCTAACTTACTTAGAACCTATCGCACTTTTTCATTGGCTAACTAGTCAGCCCGCGGAGATACTGCGCCAAAATACGGGTCAGAGGTCAGTTGGAAAACAATTAGACCTAAAATGGAAGGTTCTGATGACGAGAGCGACATTTTTAAAGATGTAGACTTTTTACTCTGTTATTTTTTACCGGATGATGATGCAAATGGTGTTTTATCGCAAAGCCTTTTGAACATTCCCACTCAGCAGCTTTTCAAGGTAGAAAATGAGACCGATCATGCAAGATTTGCATCACCAGTGTCGGGAGCGGATCTCAAAATTAAGCAAGCTGCCGGGATTCCGAAAAAGACTCGTCAAGCAAATAATTGGGCAGTCCGTTTATGGACAGATTGGGCTAGATTCAGAAATACAAGACCCGAGACACATATGGAAGGTGGTGTTATTTCTGAGAATATATGCTGTCTTTCAAATGAAGCTTTGAACTTTTGGATGCAACGATTCATAATAGAAATTCGCAGAAAGGATGGAACGGCTTACCCCCCTAATACGTTAACTCAGATTGTAGCTGCATTACAGCGGTATTTAAGGAGTAATTGTTATGACAGACAATTTAATTTTTTTAAAGACGACGATCTTGTTTTTCGGGATTTTAGAAAAACTCTGGATTCACATATGAAAAGCCTGACTAGTCAAGGTATCGGTGTAAATAAGAAGAGGTGTGATCCCGTCACAGAAAAAGATGAAATGAGGATGTGGGAGACAGGAGTATTTTCCTTAGAAACCGCGTCAGGATTGAGTAATGCAATTTTTTTCTATAACGGTAAATGTTTCGCATTCCGTGGAATGAGTGATCATAAACAATGTGACGCAGACCAGTTTGAAATCGGATTCGATCATGAAAATTCTCGTAAGTACGTTAAATATACTCCAAGGGTAACAAAAAATGTGCAGGGTGGCTTAAAGCATCGGAGAATTGAATCTGTGGTTCTTTCTATGCCAAAATGACCTGAAGTTCTTTGTTTGTGTAATTGATCAAAGATTTTGCCTTGTAAAATTTGGGGCACCACTAGCTGTTTTTGTTCACCACTAAATCTGACTGGACGTTTCGGTTTTCTGTAGAGCAACCCTTCGTCAATAACAAGAGAATCCCACTGACACAAAAGAACTCTAGAATCTGGATGAAAACCTTGAATTTGGGTCTTTGATGGTTTTTCTGATGAATTTTTCAATAACTCTATAATAGGCTGAATGACAACGTCACCCTCTTGAAAAATCTGAAGTTCTTCCCTAGACCAAGAGTCAAGCCAATTAGGAACAATTGGACTACAATGGTTGGAACATTATTGTTGACAACTTACACGAACGATCACGTTATACGAACGATTCCGCAAGATTAACGCCGCAACTTTGTTAAGGACGCCCATGAATTAATATATGAAATAAAAGCATTAAAAACCATTCAAATTTTGACATATGATACAGACCCATCCCATAATAACAATCAAAAAACATTAGCACCGTTATGTTACTATAGACCTCTCATACATTTCTGACTTGAATGTAGTCGCGTCATCAGCTGAGTGTCACGTGATAGGATAAAAATAGATAACCTTAACATGACTGTATTAATCGCAAAAGTTCAAGGATATACTGACCATATTGTAAATTGATGTTCATATATTATCAAAGATAATAAGTTTCTTAATCTGAAAAGTGCTGGGAGCAAATATAACACGTCCCGTAACATACAGAATTGATGCATTGAATAGTCAAGATTTAGTGATTTCACGCACACCAACCTACATCTGGGTCAAGAAACGGTACTTATTTTCAAGACACAACTTGCTCCCAGCACTTTTCAAGCACAATAATGTTCAGATTAAATATTAAAGGAAGCCTCAACCCTAAAAAATGACAGGATATCTTTGGACTTTTACGTTTTCGACAGCAGTGTTTATTTTTCATGTAGCCGAACTCAATTAAAACGCACTGAAGATCAGGATCAAGGGCAGATAATCCCTGTGTCAATTTTGAGAGGCACGGTAAATTTGAAAACGTTAAATACGCGTTCATGGCGTACTTCTTTTGATATTTGTACTTGTTTATCAAAAAAATCTTTTTTAGATTTTAGAAAGTGTTTTTATTTTTTGTTCAATTTGGTTGTTTTCAACATCATGAGGGGTTAATAATACTACTTCAAACATGCATCATAGGCCCAAGGAAAACGAATTCGTTTTACAAACCATACAGCACAACCAAGACTGTGTCCCATATTTTCTGTGCATAGTAGTAATTATAATGAATTATATATTTTATTTTCAATATTTGCAACATTTATAGAGGGGTTCTATGCCTCTTTCAGTGTAAAGGCCCTGACACTGCATAAACCTAGCGAATCCAGCAGGCTGATGAGCAACAATAAGGCATTTGAACAAATACTCAGTAATTAATTGTAAAAATATATGTATATATATATAATTCAGACAAAGAAAAACACACACAAAAATAATATTTCAGCATACACTGTATTTTATTTTTAGTTCAGTAATGAAAAATTCTACACATATTGTGTCCTGAAAAAAATCTCAAAGCAAAAGCATTTGAACATTATGGAATGTAAAATAAACATTAAACAATATTAAAGTTGCTTCCAATTAAGTAAAATATTCAACATTAAAGCTTTCAATCAATTTTAAAGTCCAAAACAAGTTATAAATTCATTTGATAAAAATTATAAAAAAAATAAAACAGCTACCAAATTCAAAAAAAAAAAAAATAATAATAATCATGAACTAAGTAATAAAAAAATATTCTTTTTAAGTTTTTAATTTTTTTTAAATTTCATTTTAATTTTTTTTAAATAAAATTTTAATTTAGAGATTATTTTATAATATGGTGACAACAACATGGACCTTGAATAACAACAAGCATTATTCATAAAAAAAGTTTTGTGAGTACAACATATTGATTCAGTAGCAGCCATTTAATATTTAGGAATCAAACTTAATCAATTCAACTAATAGTAACCAACAGGAATTTTATTTCACTCAGGAAATATTCAGTATACTACAAAAAGAAGCTAAACAAAACAACAAAAAAAATGTTTTACTTCAAACAAAGAACAAAGGTCAATGTGTAATTAGTTACCAACCAACCAAAATTTTTTACAAGAGGCCCATGAGCCACATCGCTCACCTGAGAATCTTTTGTCATATTGTTCTTTACCAGATTTCCCCCTTGTAATATATATTGTGGCCCCGCCCTACGCCCTGGGGGTCATGATTTGAATAATTTAGAATCTACACTATTTCAGGGTGTTTCCTCATCAGTTTCAGCTTTTATGGCCCAGTGGTTCTTGAGAAGAAGATTTTCAAAGATTTTTCCTATATATTTCTATGTAAAAATTTGATTCCCCATTGTGGCCCCGCCCTACCCCTGGGGGTCATGATTTGAACAATTTAATATCTATACTACCCCAGGATGCCTCCACATAAGTTTCAGCCTTATTGGCCCAGTGGTTCTTGAGAAGAAGATTTTTTTAATGACCCCACCTTATTTTTGTCTTTTCTTGATTATCTCCCCTTGTTGTATGGAAATTGGCCCTCCATTTTAACAATTTAAATTCCCCTTCACCCAAGGATGCTTTGTACCAAGTTTGGTCAAAATTGGCCCAGTGGTTCTTGAGAAGAAGTCAAAAATGTGAAAAGTTTACAGACGGACGGACAGAAAGACAGACGGACGGATGACACAAAATGTGATCAGAAAAGCTCACTTGAGCCTTCGGCTCAGGTATAAAAACCAATTCATTAAGAATCAGGACTATATATATGAACAAAAGAAAAACAAAATGTTTTAACACAACGAAAAGCATGCATTATTCCCAATTAATGGACAATAATGGTGTAAAATAGCCAAATGTTTAAATTTGGTCAGGAATAAGACGTCAATGTTTAAGTAACATTACATCATCATGAATGTTTGCAATTTTGCCAAAGTCATCATTGGGCGTAGCAGTAAAGATCCTGAAAGTATCAATGGGTGGTCTTCAAAAGATGATACACTGCTTGATTCTGTTACCAATCAGAAATCATCAAATGTATCTGCATCATTTAGATTTCATTTCTACAATAATGTAATGAAAAAATACCCAAAGATGCATTTGCCCTATGACAAATTTGTATGTCAATTACCAAGAGTTCAAAATTATATTACACAAAATAAGTACTGGAAAAACAACAATAAATGTAGTGAAAAAAAAGAAGATTTCATATCAAAATTTTCACTTCAACAATGGGATGCCCCTTCCTCACAAAGACAAACAGAGGCATACTGTATACGACTGTGTGCCTTGTGAAACCTCAATGATCAATTACTCTGTATTACACAATTCTGCTACAGAAAACACAGAACAGTTGGTTAAAAAAAACAAATGAACTTGTTAGTGAAATGACTCATAACAACAGTAATGGAGCAGAACAACTCCTTAATGTGTTAGAACCTATCATGAAAAAAAAAAATTCAACACAGATTTGAAGTCTTCAGTAACAAAAAAATTTAACCTGATCGAGAAAAACACAAGTGAACAAAAACGAAAACAAAAAATCAAAATCACAAGAGAGAGCACAAAATCTATAAGTCAGCTTATAGGAAACAACGAAAATGAAATTCAAAATTTTCTTGCTTCTGGAAAATCCTATAGCCAATCTGTCCGAGACAGGTTATCTATCTTCTTTGAGGCACCAAATGTAGCAAGAAAGAGAATAACAGAAAATTCAAAAAAAATTACAAGGGACAAAGAAGGCCAAGAAGCATATTGGCAACATAGATAATTACCAGTTCAAAAGAGAGGAATTCCTGAAATTTATGAGAAATTTAGCGCCAGGGTCTCCAGTCATCTGGAGATATCTTGCCCTTAAGTTTCAGATGAAAAACAAACGAGGGATAATTCCAAATAATGCAGGTCAGGTTCTACAGATGTTTGCAAAATTAAATGGTGTAAACTGTGACCAACTTAACACGAATCAAGGGATCAGTGGTAGGGACTTTCTCCAGAGAGTTCGAAGAGCAAGGCAAAAAGTTTTTCGGAAAGTTTCAGTACCCACCCCCAGACCTGCTAGAGCACTGAGAGAAATTATCAGTAAACTTGGAAGAAAGGAGCTGTACATTGGAGAGAGAATTGTTCCTAAAATCTACAAAACAAAAAAATAGATGAAAATGGTAGACTTATTGACAAAGAGATGACAGTGTATGGTAGGATGATTCCTTTAAAAAATATCATGAATGCTATGAGGGACAATCATGAAGACTATCAGAGAAATACTGAAGTAGCCGCATTAACATCAAATCAGCTGCAGACAATTTTTGAGAAACTTGGAGAAAAAAACCAGACTCGGACAAGGAAGCAAAAGAAAGGCTGCAAAAGATGGAGAATACAAGACACCTAAAAATTTGGCACGACCACTCTGAAATATTAAATCATAGCTACTTCACCGTAATGATCAGTACCATCTATGATAATGCCAATTTCCTTACTAATGAAGAGTACACGAAAAGGTTTCCTGAGCGCCCCCCCCCCTATAGACATACAAGGAAAGGTGGAGAGACCATACCTTTACATCCTAGGACAATCGTCAAGTTCAGATATTGACCAGCTGTCATACATGCAGGATAGGGTTGGAGACCTCAAAAATTTAAGAATGCAGGATGAGGAAGTTAAGTATATTCCAAGAGTTTTTAGTGGGGATAGCCCCGCTAGTCAGTTTGAGGCCGGCCATCAAAGGGGTGGGAACTACAGCTGCCTGTGTGGAGCAAGATCAAAGGAGCATCAAAATTTAGAGTATGTTTACAACATTGGGAACCCTTCCTTAGATGACCGAATGCAAATTTTCAAAGATGGAGAACTATGGAAAAGATTTTCAGTAACAAACCCATCCCCATTGTCCAATCTAAAAAAGACAGACCTTGAAGCAGAATTAAGAGCCAGAGGCCATGATATCCTTAACAAAAACAAAATTGAGATGCAGGAAGAACTAACAACAACTCTTCAAGGTATCCAGAGACCACCTGCCCTTATGCCAACCAACGAAGATATTACTGATTTGCTCCACCTATACGAGATACCACCCTACGAGCCTCTACATGACATAACCAACATAGTACAGAATTTAATTTTAGAACTACCTTGCCATATTGAGAACTTAACAACACAGAAAGAATTCGAACAATTTTCTACATCAACGATTGGGGACAAAAACCAGCTTAAGGGGTCTGATGCCCGTCTATTTGCAGTCAAGCTAGCCATGTTTACTCATCTCAAATTCACGGAGAAAAAAATCAGCAAAGAAATTTCAGAACTCTGTATGGCTTTGGTGGAAATCATATCTATATGTTACAGTGAATACCAGCAGAGAACAACAAAGAAAGGACTACGATTATACAACCCTTGTTTTAAAATCTCCATCCTCTCAAAATCTGTCATCGGAATTCCAAAGAAGATGACCACCAGAAGGTTCTTTGGCAGCCACTTTCACAGTTTAACAGTACATTGTCCTGAAACTTATAGACTGTTCTGCCTTAGATCCTTAGTCCGGAACAAGAGGAGAGATCATTTGGTGACTTAAGGAATATATCGTTAAATACAGCTAACAGACAGTGTGGGAAGGTATAATGCAGTTTTACGGTATAATGCTCAACAGATGGACGAGACCAAGAAGGACTACCTTAAGCATCAAGAATCCATTGTCAGTCATCAGGCGAAATTCTTACCAAGGTCAGAAAATATGGAATTTGATCTTGATTTGATACTGAAGAGACCAACACTTTTTCAAGTCCACTACCAGAAAATCTCAGATTTTATGTATGGTGGAGAGAACATGTGGTGGTCTTTACATGAGGGTGCAGTTATGTTCCATGATGGGCCTGAAGAACCAGATTTCCATACATACCATCCCTTCCGCCACTTTCGTTCTTTGTCAGACAAGGACCAGCAAAGACTCCTGGCAGAAGATTGGAGGAAGTGTGTTCAGGATTGTGAAGCATCAAAACTCAGCTTCCCACTGAACAAAATCAAAATATATGAGGAGGGACAACAATGCAGGATTCATAAGAATGAAGGTACATATAAATACTTAATTTTTTCAATACAATAAAATATCAATTTAAATAGAATTTTTTTAAAACTCTTCATTTCCACATATTTTACAGAATTTTTTTTTTAACTGAAATCCCATTGGTTGATTACTGTTAATTTTAACCCCCATTTGATTCTACTTTTTATATACATGTAAAATGTATAATGTGAAAATCCTTTGCCTGGAAGTAGCTTGACCTCATTAAATACTTCTATGATTTTTCAGCATTCATTCGAGTTGCATCAAGTGTCTCAGAAAAAAACACAAAAGCAGGAGTGGGAATCAGGCGAACACAATAGAGAAATGGCTTTCGGTCTTTCCACTGGAGATTCCCCTACAAGAGCAGTTCTGGAGAGTGCAACCAGCACATCCGGTAATTCTGCTGTTGTTCAAGCAGACCAGGCAACTTATTCTCATTGGTCGTAACATATATCGGTGGTTGAAAAGTAAAATTGATGAATGCCATTGTAAAATAGCGTGAAACATTGAATATTTATTTTTCTTCTGATTTAATTAAATTTTTGGTTTCAATTATTATTTTAATTTTAGATACTGCGTGCGTTTTCTTTTAAAGTTTATAAAGTTAATACACTACAATACCTTTATATTGTTGTATTAGAATCTATGAGTGAAAGATGAGATAAATGATACATATGAATAAATCAGCCGAGTAACCGGGTACTCGATCGGAATATTAAGCGAGTAACCGGTAATTAAAAATTGTGCGATTTGCCAACACTAATTTATACATTACATATTTATGTATAATTAATATACATACATTGTAGACAATTCTAAAACTATTATGGAAAGTCATACCGCCAAAAGGTGGTCCTTCTATTGATGCAGGATCACTGCAGGAGTTGATTTCACATCCAAATGAAGATCAAAGCACATGTGAAACTCAGAATTCAGGTAGTTCTACAAAGTTAATGTAAAATTAATACAAACAAACAAACAACCCCCCAATTATGTTCCCCAAACGAAGTTGGGGAACATATTGTTTTTACTCTGTTTCTTATTATTATTAAGGTCTTCCGTCTCAACGGAAGACCTTATAGTGATTCTACTGTTTCTTATTATTATTATTCTTATTATTCTTTTTTTTGACAAAATTTTGTGCAGGCGATTTCTCGAAAACTATTCAGCGGTTTTTCATGAAACTTTCACAAAATATGTGTCATTATATGAAGTTGTTACATCCGAAGAGAAATTTGGAAATTGCGCATCTGGTGCCAAGTAATGGACAATTTCCTGATTTTAAAATGCGATTTTGTCGCGCACTTTTATCGAAAATGGCTGAAGATATGAACTGGAGACTTATTGGAGATGATAGATCATGACTTTGTGGTTTGCAGAATCACCTTTTCGTGCATCGTCAGTACTTCCGTCCGATACGAAATGCAAATTTTAAAAAAATGGTATTTTCTAACTCTTTTGTTTTTCAATATTTTTCATATATTTTTGGTATGTTAATAGAAACTTCTCTTATAATGCTTACTATATAATTTGCTTGAATGCTGATAAATCTTAACTCTAGATATTAGCATTCAAAAATATGAAGCGGGTCCAAAATGGCGGCTGTCTCTGTCAACGCCGACATTTCACAATAGTGGTTTACGGAGGCAGCCGAGCGTTTGCTTGAACGAAAATAACATAAGGATAAATGAAAGGTAAAGGAATACCTGGATTGTCACGTCGTAGTTACGTTGCAGTTCAGTGTCAAACTAGCGTCTTCTATAATTGGTTTTGGCTGGTTCTCAAAGTAGAAAAAGAAAAGACTAAATGTGCAAATGGAATTCGATACCTAATATCTTTTGTGCATAACGGAAAAACAGATCGTAAATCATACTTATAAATAATACTTTCTCAAAAAAGAAAATCAATTATATCAATGTCAATATCAAGTATAAATCTTAACCACTTTTTTTCTATGCATACTTGTGTCATATTAAACTAATAAATAAGACAAAAATAAGAAAAAGATTTTTTTGAAGATCGCTTCATGAAGTTTATCAGACCTGCCTACCCTTCCGCTTTTGGCGGAATTCTTCCGCTTTTTACCACAAAATTACGCTATTACGCCACTGATATTAATATTACGCTTTTGCTATTTTGGTTTAAATCCATTATAAACGTCTAAATTTAAGAGTCAAAGTACAAGCAGCTGAAATAAAATGAGAAGTTCTAATTAAAGTAATTAATAGAGGAACAGTTTGATAACTAACGTTATATACCTAATACTTATATGGAAACCGGTGTGGCAAAGATGAGGGATGACTCCTTATTTCGCGACTCTAGAGGAGACGCTCTAACCACTGCGCCACGCGGGCGACGAAGAACACGAGATGGTACTGCATGCTTACTTCAACTGTTAAATGATATTACAATAAGTATGCCCATTTCTATGCCCAAGTTAATTCACTTTACCATTGCTTCGAAGAAGAAAGAGAAATGTGAGTGTTAAAAAGAAAAATAAGTGTTATTATGATTAATTTGTATAAACATTAACATGCAAACTCAAGCCTTCAATGAAGTGATCTGATACACATTGACCAAATGCTTGATTAAGGGTGTGCGGTTAATTTGAGTTTAATATATAATAAGATACTGATATTTTACAACACTTTTTTGCCAATCGATGATTCGAAAAAGAAAAGGTTATGCCAGGTTTGTTTAGTTATGTACAATTTCGGTGGGTCTGAAAGAAATAAACTATTATTGTAAAACGACAAAGTAGGAAAACATGATTGATTACGCTCTTACGTCTGAAATTCCACCAAAAATTTTCTGAAATTACACCCTTGAAACGAAAAGGGTAGGCAGGTCTGGTTTATTCTTGCATTCTTGTCTCAAAGACCTGATTCAGGTTATTAAGCATAAATGATATCTGATTCTCTGACCGTCGTTTATGTAGGGCGAGTCATGTTTTTCGGCGAAACGTTTCAACCTTTTTCGATTAACTTATCGGGATAGTTCACTTTGGGGATAAACAGGAAATTAAAAAAAAATTATAAGCGTTTCATCGCTTTAGTGTACATTATGGAATTTGTAAAATGTGTTAAATATACTTTCTAAACTTCGAAGCCTAGGCTATAAGAACGTTCTTTTTTAAATTTCATTGAAGCTATCACTTCTATTTAAAAGAACATTCCAAAGAAAAGGTGCGAAGATTAACTCGTGGTGTTTGGCGCTAAATTTTGAATAGTGACCCGCCATTTGATAATTCAAAGAGAGAAGCACTGTTTCGTGAATATATACAAGTGGATTTAGAGTAGAGGTTCCAATAGCGCAATATTAAGAGTGTTGGAAATTCATGCTGGCGACTTGCGTTCCATCTCCCTTGTGTGCAATTTTTTTTTTATATTTTCAGCTCGATTTTACGTTTTCTTTCCGGAATCGGACGGAAGACCTCTCGTTGCTCGCAACGAGTTCATTCTAGTTCTTATTATTATTATTATTATTATTTTTTTTGACAAAATTTTGTGCAGGCGATTTCTCGAAAACTATTCAGTGGTTTTTCATGAAACTTTCACAAAATATGCGTCATTATATGAAGTTGTTACATCCGAAGAGTAACTTGGAAAATTCGCTTCTGATGCCAAGTTATGGACAATTTCCTGATTTTAAAATGCGATTTTGTCGCACACTTTTATCGAAAATGGCTAAGGATATGAACTGGAGACTTATTGGAGATGATAGATCATGACTTTGTGGGTTGCAGAATCGCCTTTTCGTGCGTCGTCAGTACTTCCGGTCGTTACGAATTGCAAACTTAAAAAAATCGTATTTTCTAACTTTTTTGTTTTTCAGTATTTTTCATTTTTATTTGGTATGGTAATAGAAGCCCTCCTTATAATGCTTACTATTTAATTTGTTTGAATGTTGATAAATCTAAAGTCTAGATATTTGCATTCAAAAATCTGAAGCGGGTCCAAAATGGCGGCTGTCTCTCTCAAATCCGCCTTTTCGCGAGTAGGGGTTTATGGAGGCAGCTGAGCGTTTGATTAAACCATTCTGACATAAGGATACATGAAATGTAAAAAACTACTTCGACTCTCACGTAGTAGTGAAATGGTTGGAGGAGTTACCTCCCGTTACTTGTTTATATTATAATAGATAATCAATGTAAATATTGTAATTAATTGGTCAATTGACTAAAGAATTATACAAGTGTTATATATAAATGATGTTCTGTTAGAAAATAATAATTGTGTTGCCAAAAGAAAGATAGTCTGTTTTATTTTATCAATATGATATCTGATAACTTGTGATCATTGATTAAGTTGAGGTACAAGGGGGCAGTACAGCCAACTGGCTTTTGTTTTCACTTTGGTACAGAAACCAAATGGTTTATCGATCAAATAGGATTGTGCAAAGTTGCCGTAGTCAGTGACTAGTTAAAATGTAGCTGTGTGGCATTAGCTATAGGTTTGTCATTAGGACAGAGAAGCTCTTACAAAGTTAAATCATACTGTGTAAGTATATTGTAGCCACTTTAAAGACACCAGGCAGGTGTCATATTATTATCTGTATATATTGCATTCAATCATATCCCCAGTAAAACTCGGTAATCCGAGCACGGACCTACTGACCGCTCATATCCGACACGTTACAGTAGTACGTTGCAATTGAGTGTCAATCTTAAAACTTAATTTCCGTTTCACTGCTTTAGTGTAACTGGGCTAGATACGATATGTAATGTGTATAATGTGTTACATATACTTTCTTAACGTCAAAATAAAATAAAGGCGCTAAGAATGTTTTATTTTTAAAATTTAATTGATGCTATCATACCTATCTAATAGATCAGTCCAAAGAAAAGGCGCAAATATTTACTCGTCGCGTTTGGCGCGAAATTATGAATGCTTTTTATAGTTCTTAGACAGGTGAACTGTTGCAAAAGTACCGTGGTATACACAAGTATATTTAGAGCAGTATTCCCAATAGCTTAATGGTTAGCGTGTTGGGGATATAAAAGTAAAAAAAAAATGCGCATTCGCATTGGCGACATGGTTTCAATCCTCCTTGTGACCAAAATTTTAAATCTCTTTTCAGCTCGATTTTACGTGGGTTTCTTTTCCTAAATCGGACGGAAGACCTCTCGTTGCTCGCAACGAGATCGTATCTAGTTATTATTATTATTATTATTATTATTCTTTTTTCTTCTTATTTCTTCTCCGGTACTTTTTTGTCCGGAAGTGTTCTCAGAAACTGTTCACCAAACTAAGTTAAAACCTTTTTAGGGTTAATAGGTGTGTTGTGTAGATGTGCCGAACGAAGGTCATTTTGCGCGCATACGCCTGCACGTGCGGGCGCGTGAAGTGAGTGAAATGACTGTTATAATTTATATGGCCGTAACTTTTACATTTTTTGATGAAATGCTTTGAAACACATCACATAAAGATATATTAATAGTGTTAATATCGTGACACTGTCAAATTAGCACGAACTCACGCGCGTGCACGTCAGCTTCGCTCTGATTGGCTGAAACAAAAATCGCAATATATCTTTTGTTTTTTGACGAAATGCTTTCAAATTTTAAACATAGTCATGAATTATGATATCCTACAATACGATATAGAAAAAGTTTCATGAAATCACGCGCATGCATGTGTGCTTCAATCTGATTGGATGAAACTTTAAATGACTATATCTCCTTTGTTTTTTGACGAAATGCTTTGAAATTTAAAATATAGTGATACATTAAGATGTCCTGCAATATGATATACAAAACATTTCAAGAAATCACGCGCATGCACGTGTGCTGCAATCTGATTGGCTGAAACTTAAAATGGCTATATCTCCTTTGTTTTTTGAGGAAATGGTTTGAAATTTAAAATATAGTCATTCATTAGGATATCCTACGATACGATATAGAAAAAATTTATGAAATCACGCGCATGCACGTGTGCTGCAATCTGATTGGCTGAAACTTGAAATTGCTATAACTCCCTTGTTTTCAAACCAAACGGGGTGGGATTTAGAACATAGATAGATGTAATAGACTTCTACAAGAAGGTATGGTCACCATGCTCGTGTATGCACGTGCGTGCACGTGAAGTGGGTAAAATCAAATATACACTTGAATGAGCGTATTTTTTTAATACTTTTGGATTAAATACTTTCATATTTAGTATATTAAAATATATAGATTGTGTAGACAAGATGATATGTCATTACGCTGATGCATTCACATGCACACGCGTGCAATGCTAAAATTTAAATGAACTTGGTACACTTCTGGGTAAATGTTGTTGAAGTCTCAAATGCATAGAGTTTGTCTTATTTAATGAGGCTTACAGGGGATATGGCACCAAAAGGGAGTTGGGGAGCGTTTGGGGAACATCTGTAACGGTCCCCGTTACAATTAGCACTAGTTTTTATTGTCTTTCAGTTAACAACAGATATTTCAGATAAGGTCTTCCAATGTTTTACCCACAACTTGATTTTAAATTGTGAGATCATACTTATAAAATCTTTTGCAATTTATTTTCCCCTATACATATATCTTATATATACTGAAGACCTCTGTTTTGCCTTTACATCAAACATATACTTATTGATTTTTGTTTGGATGATTTTTTAAGAGTTTGTTCAAGATGCACCACATGAAAGGAAGGCAGCATGGAACAAGGGATGTGCATCAGAAAAACAGGAATCAGCTCCAACTGTTGAAATCAAAACTCTGAAAAATCAAAATCAAAAAACAGGTAAACTTTACTTGTATTTATGCAGTTTATCCATAAAAATTTTCTTCAAACTTAGAATAATTCAAACTATTTATCATGAATGAATGATAAAAATCTTTACTTGACACTACATGTCCTAGATACATGTATCATTTGAATAAAAATATATTTAAACTACTAGAAAATAATTCCCTAAAATATTTATAGCTTAATTCATTGTTCTTTTGTGTCATGTACAGGGTATTGTGGCCCCTCCTTTCTCTGGGGCTCAAGATTTCAACAAACTTGGACCGAAGAACTCTTATTTAATATATATTCCTACATAAAGTATTTTGGACCCACTCTACCCCTTGGAAGTATATTAAATAAATATTGAAAATGACTTTCTATTTACCATATATTAAAGTTCTGTTAACATTGTTTTTTTTTGTATTTTATTATTTCAGTCAGAGGGTGATAACTTTCAACAAAATTCAAGATAATAAAATCGTACACATATCCCATCTTTTCATGCCCGAAAGTACTATCTGAGTAAATATACATGTACTGATTAACCTGAATACCTACACATCTTTAAAAGTGAGAACAAGAGGGGGACTACGCCTGTAAATTTATTACTTATTATTGCATGTTCGCCTTAAATAAATCTACAATGATTGAAATGGACATCTTAAATTTTCCGTATAATATAAATAACATATATACATGTACGTTAATTCAAAGAAAGCAAGCATCATTGATATTATTAAGGTGAGGACACCCCTTATTTGAGAATATTTTTTTTTCTATATTTAATTACACATTTTAAACACCTGGAGGCACGCGCCCAGTGCGTTGGTGCTCTCTTCAATTGTCACATCTATATATCGGACGTGAACTAAAAACAGAATTAACTGCATGTTTTTGATTGAAGCATATTTCTGAGCATGTACACAGGCTGCACAATTACCTTTGAAGACCTGTTTGTAGACTGGCCTTGCTTGTATGAACTATATATTACAGACAGTAATATAACCATCAGTAATATAACAAACCATCTGCTAGCTGGCTGCACTCATTGGCCGATAAAAATTCTCACTGACAGAAATGTTAAAATATCGAATATCCCTGTCCCTGCTTTTGTACGACAGCGACAGGAAATACCAGTCTTGTTAATAAAAGATCTGCTCGTCTGAGAATTACGGAGAAGGCAGAGCATCTGCATGGGTGAACTAACTGGCTGACAGATTCTGCTTTGAATTATATACCATATTGGACCATGTGCAAGATTCGACCAATATTTTGGCTAGCAATTGATTTGCTAATGTAGAAAAGACAAAAATTAATCTCCCAATAGCGCATGTGCAACATGCTCAGAAACAGACGTTATGCATTTTTAAAATTTTCCTTACAAAAATTTTTAGCCCGTTGATATTAGATATTACCGTACATTTCTCGGAGGTATTTCACGAAGTGCTGAACGGATTTCTCCTCCTTTATTCTGGCATTACTTCCAGGTTCGGAGAAATCTACATGGATCATTTGCATTAGTCTGGAAACACTGAGCGTGTTGGTTCCATTTGTAAATAAGTGCTTTACGTTCATTTGTTCAATCAGCTGAAAGTAGTGAACACCATTGGAAACATACATCGAAAGTACGGCAAGTTATTTTTTATTACAATGTATATTGACATTTTTCCACAAACTTCACATACCTGAAGGACACCCGTCCTCTCCAGTCCGCGCGTTAACTGGGAATGGGCCTCTGTGCAGCAATCAATAATATTTGGTAGGCCCCCTAACAGAGGGCCTCCTTGAAGAACGCTCAGGCCTGTACAAATAGAAGCAATAATTATTCTAGAACCGAAATAGAAACTTGTTTTTAAGAAATGACTATTAAAGATATAATTCATAACCTACCGATTACGAGGCCAGCGTAAAAGTAATGGTGCCTTGCTAGTGCTTCTTCTTGAAGAAGTAACTCTATGGCACCCGCATTTACATGGAGGAGTCGATGTTTCACCTCCTCCATGAACGAGTGGAAAAATTCCCTCCTGGGGCCGCCCAAATCCACAGCCGCTTCCCCGTGGAAAGTCACCTCCAGGGGAAGACGTACATTCTCCAGGGAGGAAATTTCATCTACTGCATCATTGAAGAGATTTAGGCGGCTGATGAAAATGCCTGCACTCTCCCCCTCCGTGAGAACACTTTCATCCGTGATGTCAAAATCTCTTCCTTGGAGGAAAAGATTGAGTACAGCCTTAACAGATCCCTGGGATCTGTTAATGCAGCCCTGTAAAAGATATGTTTATTGAAATTTAAAAAAGGTCTATGTAATTATTATATTATTATTATTAGTTATTATTATTTTTAAAAATTTAAAAAAAAATTAAAAAAGGTCTATAAAATTATGTTATTATATGATTGAATAATTTCCATCTCTCTGATTGGCTGAGATCCAACTATGTTAGAAAAATATTACGTTGTATTGACCTGCACGTGACGTTCCAGGTCAATACAAGGATTTATTTCCTCTACATTGATCTAAAAATAGACTGGGGAATTCAAAATTGATTCAAATTGTTTTAAAAAGCTATTTAAACGACAATGATTTGTATTTTCATGTGAACAAAACATAAGCGAATATATATTTTAGGTAAGGGTGGTAATTAAGAGGGTATGCAGGGACACAGTCACACCCCTCCAACACTTACTGAACATTAATTTTTTTTTTTACTTTTGGCAGTCAGTTTTCCCTGATAATACTTCTTCCTTTCAAAATCTATCCTATAAAAAGACTCTGACATTATAAATTTCTTTTATGTCTTCTAAAATTGATTTTAAAAAAAAATCAAATTGATACGCCTGGTAAGGTTTATTAACGTTTTAATTCTGCTACTCTCTTGTATTTGGCTAGGACTTGATAAAATGCAAACAAGTAATGAGCTGTATCATTTTATCAATTATCAGTGAATCATATAATAAAACAATTATTACTGTTTTTTTCGGTCAATACAATGATTTAGCCATCTTCGAAGTACAATATTCACCTCGCCCTTCGGGCTCGGTGAATATTGTACTCCTCAGATGGCTAAATCATTGTATTGACCTCAAAAACCAGCAATAATTGTATAATATTCACTGATGAGCTGATTGTCATTTGGTGTAGTTATGAATGCTAAACAACAGCAGCTGCTCTTTTGTCTCGAGTTTTATATCAGAATCCATTTGACACATGTTACATGTATTATGTTGAATTTATTTGATGCTGAAAATGCGTTTTTTTCACAGATGTTAATTTTTTTTATAAAATAGTATACATAATCAAAGATCATGATTAATAAAAAAAATTATAAATAACGGTTTCATTTTCATGATTTGTTTTGTTATAGATGCTGTTATATACATCATTTCCTGCTGAAGTTTTCCATATATTAATTTCTTTGTTTGAAAGAATGGGTCCATTGGATTACTACAATGGATGGACAGTACAAGGAATCAGTACCAGTGGCCAGCTCCTTATGACTCTTACGCCTAAATTTAAGGGATTCGAATTTAGCAGAAAGATTTAACACCAGTAAAAGTACCGTCTCCAACATATTGAATATATCTATGCTACAGCACTGAACAAGATCTTGTTAGAAGGAGTGATGAAGGCTGTTGGGATACCTTCCCAGTTGAAATGCAAAGGATCAATGCCAAAATCATTTGATGAGTTTTCCTACTCGAGAATAGCAATGGATGCCACTGAAATCACACTGGACGTACTATCAGACATCTGCCATATCTGCAATTATTACCTAACCTACTATATAAATTATAATTAAGCATTTTGAACTGTTTCACGGTTTACTTTATGTTTTTGCGTGATCATGAAACAGTGAACTGTTGACCGGTCCACAGAATGAACTGTTGACTGTTTCAAGCGTCATCGTGATATTCAAGCGTTTTGATGACCACGACATCACTAATTACCTGCTTTATAATTAATCAAATTTAAATAAAACACACAAACAACCCATTTATTAAGTATTACTTTAAATTAAAAATATTAATTTAATCTTTGTATTATGTGTTCAGCTAAATAATAGACAAGTATGTGAATTCACAGTTGTGAAAACGTTTATTGATTGTTTGTGTTTTTATTCCAATTTAATTAATTATATAGTAGGTTAGGTAATAAAACACTTATTCAATGACTACTCGGTAAAACAGTCAAAATGTTGTTCCTCTGATTGGGAGACCTGGGAAACTGTCGTTGCCCTTTGGCCTTCGGCCTCTGGCAACAGTTTCCCAGGTCTCCCCCACTACCTCGGGACAACATTTTGACTGTTTACCTCGTAGTCATTAAATAAGTGTATATTGTTGATCATTGTGGTGTATTGCATATGTTGCAGCCAGGTGATATGATCCTTGCAGATAAGGGCTTTATCATTTTTGATAAGCTTCCATCAGGAGTGACATGAAACATACCACCTTTCCTGTCATCCAAAGCCCATTTCACAAAGGAAGAAGCACAGCTTTGTTATAAGATTTGGGAAACATGATTCATGTGGAACGTGCCAACGAAAGAATCAAGAACTATCGTATTCTGGATCATATTCCTGCACAATACACCTAAATTTTCCAATTATGTGTAGCTCTTGTTAATTTGCAAGCTCCTCTATTGAAGGAAATAGCAGAAAAAGTATGAAATTTATAATTGGTGTAATTTAAAGCAGTACTACACATTAAAACTTGTATTATTGGAGTTTTATGAAGAGACTTACTTTTACATTCGACAGCTTACTTGGACATTTAAACCTGCGTCATGTACGGAGATACGGAATTGTAAAAAGAAAATAGAAAACATCTCAAGAGGGGAAAGTTATTATGTTCCCCAAACGAAGTTGGGGAACATATTGTTTTTACTCTGTTTCTTATTATTATTATTATTATT